GCTGATGTATCAGCCACTCATCTCTCTCTTTTTTTTTAAAATATATTTTATTGAGTTTTTACAGAGAGGAAGGGAAGAGAGATAGAGAGTTAGAAACATCGATGAGAGAGAAACAATATCCACTGAGCCAAACCGGTTAGGGTAGCCACTCATCTCTTGAATGTTGTTGATCACTGTGGCAGAAGAAAAGAGCTGAGCAATGGCCCTTAAACTACTGAATAGTGACATGGCAGTTATGCTTGAGTTTAACTGGCCAAAGCAATTTGCATGGCTACATTTAACTTCAAGGAACAGAGAAATAGAATGTTACCATGTAGCCAGAAGCAGATTTGGAAATATTTGGTGAATAGTGCTAATGGTGTTCACATTAGTGACTCCCAGATTTCTGATTTGGGAAATGTGGTATCTTTAACTGAGTTGTGAAGTACAGGACAATGGGCAGGACTGGTGAGGAAGGAGAAGGATGAGTTTTAAGACTGAATAAGGGTAGGCCCAGTGACTATCAAGGTGTAGTATTTCAGCAGGCTCTTGGATCTGGGAGTCTAGGGCTAAGAGAGACCTAAGTTGGAGACTTGGTAATGTAAAGGAATTAATTGTGGATGTGTGTATTTAACCTCAGTGACAAATACATGAAGTGATTGGCTTAGCTGTTGAGTTGGGGGCTGGAGGAGGGCGAATTGGGAGTCGGCTGGCCTGAAACCTGAATTGGATGGCGTTAGGCAGGAGTGAGTTAAGTTAGGTGGGGTGAGAAAGAGGTAGCTCTATTTTTATTTCTGCAACTTCAATTAGCCTAGTTATGTTAATAATATGAATAGTTTCAGGTTCCAAGTGCAAATATGTTTTATCACATTTTATATTATTTTAAAAAATATTTTTATTGATTTGAGAAGAAGAGAGAGGGAAAGAGATGGAAACATCAGTGATGAGAGAGAATCATTGATTGGCTGCTTCCTGCACACTCCACACTGGGGATCGAGCCCGAAACCCAGGCATGTGCCATGACCGGGAATTGAACTGTGATCTCTTGGTTCATAGATCCACGCTCAACCTCTGAGCCACACCAGCTGGGCTATCACAGTTTTTGATCAACAGCATGAATATGTATATTTAACCAGTATCAAGATGGATTTGTTGCTATATCTGAAAGACTTTTTAAATTTAAAAAATGATGAATATTTACCAATTAAATAGTATGTTAAGATTGTTTTAAAATTATTGATTAACTGAATGGTAAAGGTTGCTTGAAATTTGGAATTAGATGATTAGACTTTTAAGTTCTATCTTTGCCATTTACTAGATTTAGGATTATGTTAAATGTCCTTGACCTGTTTTATAACTAAATTACTGTTATTGCACAAGGGATATCTGATATTTTCAAATAATCTCTTCTTTTTGAGTCTGAAAAACCTTCATGTTTTAAAGTATTGTACATTTATGTTATATACTAGGTATACCAGGTGTACCAGGTAATAATGCGGATTTTGTAATCAAAGAAAACACGGTAATTTCAAGAGAAACATCAAAAGTGCTTTATTCAAAGTAATGTCTATCACTAGCTGCTGGGGTCCAACCCCAGCGGGTCCAGGGGTCCCCAAAGGTGTGGACGGAGTCGGCGAAGAAGGAATGACATGGTGACAGCGTTCAGTTGATCAGCAGCCTAGCCAGGATCTTCAGCCAGGATCTCCAGCCAAGTTCTGGTCTGGATCTCCAGAGAGGTTCTGCTTAGGATCTCCAGCCAGGTTCTGTGTCCATGTTCTCTTGCTAGGTTCTCCAGGTTCTCCAGCCAGGTTCTGTAGCCATGTTCCCTCGCTAGGTTCTCCAGCCAGGTTCTGTCCAGGTTCTCCAGCCAGGTTCAGTCACCAGGTTCTAGTCAGGTTCTCTTGCCAATTTCTGTAGTCAGGTTCAGTCCAGGATCTTTTGCCATGTTCTCTCCAGCGAAGTTCTTCTGTCTCTAGGTTCTGCGTGGGTTCTGTCTTCTTGGTTCTGTCTTCTTAGTTCTGTGTCTTGCTGTCTTGTTACATCTGTATTTATACCAGTTGATTCAATCCTATCAATCTCTATTACAAAGGTTAGGGCGTTTCTTATCTCCATTCCAGGGAGTAAAGATTATGTGGCTTAAGCATGATTGTTTGTAGTTAAAGTGATTAATTACCCGCCTGGCACTTAGTTGAGGGGTTTTATTCCCTCCCTAACTTCAGGGGAAAATCCCTACCTGGGGAAACAACCTTTCTCAGAGAGGAGACCTTGGTTAAAACACATAGTGCCAAGAAGGTGAGCAAACATATTAAGAACAGTATGCCACATATGCCAGGTCCCTTGAAACAGCAAGCATGGACCGGCTCCCGGCAACTAGCTACACATTTCCCCCATCTTTCAGGTAATTTGTGGATACCGTCCCAATAGAACTTTTCTTGTTTTGAGGCAAACCATTCAGAGACCCAATTTTCCACTTCTTCATACGTTTTGAAGTGCTGCTCAGAAAGTGCGTGTGCCATCGATTGGAACAAGTGGTAATCTGAAGGAGCAAGGTCTGGTGAATACGGCGGGTGGGTTAATGCTTCCCAGGCAAGATCTTTTAACGTGTCTTTAACTGGTTTTGAAGTGTGTGATGGTGCGTTATCAAAGCAAAATTACTTCGCCTTGTCTACTGGCACATTCTGGTCATTTTATGATCAAAGTGTGGTTCAAATTGATTATTTGTTGTCAGTAGCGATCAGTATTCACGGTTTCACCTGGTTTTAGAAGCTCATAATACACCACACCTTCCTGATGCCACCAAACGCAGAGCATTGTCTTCTTTCTGAAGCGATTTGGCCTTGCAGGCGATGTAGATGGTTGACCTGGATCAACCCATGAGTTTGTGCATTTGGGATTCTCAAAATAAGTCCACTTTTCACCGCCAGCCACAATTGGATGCAAAAAAGACTTTCTTTCGTGCCCTTGAAGCAACATTTTCTGATGACTTTGTGGTGGTTTTCCATTTGTCTTTTGTTCAGTTGATGTGGCACCCATTTTCCTTCCATTAAAATCTTTCCCACTGCTTGTAAATGATCGGAAATTGTTTGCTGAGCAATGTTTAATCTTTCTGCAAGTTGTTTTTGAGTTTGACAGGCATCTTCATCCAAAATGCTTGTAATTGTTGGTCTTCAAACTTTTTTGGTTGACCTGGACGTTCTTTGTCTTTCACATTGAAATCATATTTTTAAAGTGTTTAAACCAGTGTTCACAAGTATCTTGAGATGGAGCATGATCACCATAAGCTTCTCAAAGTATATGATAACTTTCAGCAGCACTTTTCTTCAAAATAATGAATTAAAATTTCCCGCAAATACTCTTTTTTTGGCACAAAATTTGACATTTTTAAGTGTAAAAATACCTATGATGTTAACACCCTCAGCAAATTTACCTTATGAAGTTTTGAAGCTTGCTGTCAATGCAACAAAATAGCATACATATCAAATCACATGTATATCAACATGTGTAACTCTATTGAAAAAACTCTGCATTATTAACCGGTACACCTGGTATATATTTTGTTGGGGTAATTTTTTCCTTGTTAAAGATAATAATTAAACACTTTAATTAAACATAATTATGGGCAGGTTGATAAAATGATCATCCATGAGTATAGTGTATTTTGCAAACTAACAAGATAAGATTCATATTATGAAAAAAATGCTTTAATCTGTGCCGTTTCCTTTTTACTATAAGCTTGCCTAGATTGAACTAAATCTAGTAGGACTTGTAAGAGTCTTTGCTCTTTTGCATATAGTAATATGTAACATTTTGTTTGTGAAATCTTTTGTCTGAACAATCACAATGCCTAGCCTGAAGTATCCTACTGTATACAAAAGACTTTAATTCCATGTTATCTCATTGTTTCTAAGATTGTTAATGAAGTTTTTAGAAATTTAAATGTGCCAGGGAAGGCTTAGATGTAGTTACAAAATTTTAAGTCTTGCAGATTGGCGCTTTTATAAAGGTATTTTATAAAGGTATTTATGTGGTTCAACATCTTTGGATTAAGTAGTTGTTTTCACATTTTGCTCAGATTAATAATTTAATGTAAAGTTTTTTCAGACTTTTTAAAAAATTTATTGATTTTTTTACAGAGAGGAAGGGAGAGGGATAGAGAGTTAGAAACATTGATGAGAGAGAAACATCGATCAGTTGCTTCTTGCACACCCCCTACTGGGGATGTGCCCGCAACCAAGGTACATGCCCTTGACCAGCATTGAACCTGGGACCCTTCAGTCCACAGGCCGACGCTCTATCCACTGAGCCAAACCAGTTAGGGCAAGTTTTTAAATTTAAAGTTTTTTTTTATTTTTTATTTTATTGATTTTAGAGAGGAAGGGAGAGGGAGAGAGAGATAGAAACATCAATGATGAGAGAGAATCATTGATTGGCTGCCTCCTGCTCGCCCCCTACCGGGGATCGAGCCTGCAACCCAGGCATGTACCCGTGGCCGGAATCGAACCCAGCGACTCTTCAGTTTGCAGGCTGACGCTCTATTCATTGAGCCATACCAGCTAGGGCAAATTTAAAGTTTTTAGAAGTAAGGCTAATGGCGTGCTTCGTTATCACTAGTCTTTGCAGACAGATCATCATTAAAAGAGTAAGTTTTGCTATTTGATGTCTTAATGATCTTTTTTTTTTTTTTTATATTTTATTGATTTTTTACAGAGAGGAAAGGAGAGAGATAGAGAATTAGAAACATCGATGAGAGAGAAACATCGATCAGCTGCCTCCTGCACATCTCCTACTGGGGATGTGCCCGCAACCCAGGCACACGCCCTTGACCGGAATCGAACCTGGGACCTTTCAGTCCGCAGGCCGACGCTCTATCCACTGAGCCAAACCGGTTTTGGCATGTCTTAATGATCTTTAGCAATAAAACTTTGTAAGCCTTGATTCTGTAAAGTTCTCAGAAAATTTTTTAGTGAAAACGACAGAACCAGCCAAATGTTTGTCTAATTGTTTTTCTTTTTATCTTGCAGCAACGCACCTCTTGCTTTTTCTTCCAAAGTATGTTATGTTAAGTTTCGTGACCGATCAAGTGTTGGCGTGGCCCAGCATCTAACTAACACGGTTTTTATTGACAGAGCTCTGATAGTTGTTCCTTGTGCAGAAGGTTGGTACTTCACATGTTTTCTTCTATTTTAATCTGTTCTGTCTATTAATTACCTTTGACTTTCTTAGAAATTGGCAAGTAGCTAGTGCTCTGGCATGTGTGTATGTATGTGAGAATGAAATTTGGAGATTGAAAGCATTTTTACTAATAAAACATATTAAAATGGTTAATTTGTTTCTTAATGTAAGTTTAAAAAATAGTTAAACATTAAACAATTTTATAAATGATTTGGCTTCTCCAGTTTACTTTGGCTTTCTATAGTTAATTTACAAGCTGTAAAGAAAGCTTCCAGAAATAAAAAAAATATATAAAAAAGGTTGTTTGGGGATATTATTTTAAATGTGTAAATGAGTAGCCTCTGTGTATACAATATTAGTGATATTACATCAATAAAAAAATGTGCACATTTTGCCAATTTGGGGTTAAGTGATATTTATGGTTATAAGAAAACATTCGTAATTGAAGCTTTAAAATATTCTCTTAAGGTTGCTATGCAACTGGAATTTACTTTTCTCTTCTGGCTTTTTTTGTGGGGGGGGAAGGAGTAACTGAAGAAAAATCATGACAAGTAAATTTCCTTCATCAAAGAAATAGTTGTTGAAGATGGGAACAAGGCTGAAGCCTTATAGTTATTCGTTAAATTTTATGACTTAACCTGCTTTAAGAGCAAATTATTACTAATATTTATTTTTTAGTAACTTCTATTTACAGAGCCACTCATATAATAAGCTGTGCCGAATTTGACAGTTCTGGTGTGTAATTAACTTTTATCTAGAGCACTATGGCATGTATACATGGATTTTAGAATTGGGTTATTTAAATGTCTTTAAAACGTATTTTTACTGGTGGATGGTGGTAATTTTGCAACATAATAATTTTACCTGAAACAATTTAATGTACTTTCATATGTAATATTTTAAAACCTCTTTTAAATACCAGACCAACATTAAAATAATGTATACTAAACAATTTGCCATACTTTTAAGGTTTTATGCTTATTTCAAAATGCTGTTCTGAGATGTCAGAAACATTAGTCAGATACTGCAAGTATCATTCTTTTATTTTTGAAGTCCCAGAATAAAACATTCTGGATTTTTTCAGATTAATTTGAAAGTATTTTTCCTATGCCTTGGGGTTAGAGTGGGGTGGGGAGAATAAAAATGGATTAAAGTTATTTAATTATTTGCTAACTCTGTCCTTATCTACTGTAAGGAGGTAGTGAGCCTAAAATTGGAGAGCCAGGTGAGGAAAGAGCTGGTAATGGTTTAGTTCTGCAAAACAAGTTCATACCAATTTCACAGGAAAGAAGGTTTATTTTCATGGGGGAAAGAAGGTTTATTAAACGGGAATGTTAATTATATCATAAAAATGAGTCATTAGCAGCACCAGGTATTGTATCATGTTGGCTCATTACTGAATTAGAAGGAAGAATTTTACCAGTTGCTGCTTTATTGGAACCTTACTGTAGTCCCATAAAACCTTTTAATATAGTATTTGAGAAACCCTGGCTCTAATTTATCATAAATGTTCAAAGTTATGGGCAGGTATAGGTTTCTTATTTTGTTTGTTTTATTTGATAGAGATGAATAAATGCATTTTTAATATCATTTTGAGGCAAAGTTTCACCTTTTTGAACATGAAAATTTAAATATTTTTATTCAATTTAGTTACGTGTTTTAGAACAGTGGTTGCCAACCGGTGGTCTGCAGACCACTGGTGGTCCGTGGGGTCCGAAAGGTTGGCGATCGCTGGTTTAGAATACTTACCTATAAAGAATTGGTAGTAGGAAAACATTCAGACACACATTTTTCATTAAATAAAATACAACTGAGATAAATTTATAGAACCTAAAGAATGTCATAGTGAGCCTTTAAAGATCTGATTATGCACTGCAAGCAAAGTAATAAAGTATTATATATATTGTACCAAAAAAAGATAGCAAAGTGAATTTGAAATAAACCAAAGAAGGAGTTCCAATGGAGTAAGTTCTATAAGAGAGATGTACTGTGGTGCTGTAAGTAGTGTTCTATTTATTTCATATTGCATTCTTTCCTTGATGTTATAGAAATAACATTATGAAAGAAATGAGAAAACCATAGAAAAAAATTTTAGTTTCTTTCAATTTGCTGGGTTTAAAAAAAAATAGACATTATTGTGAGGAGATTCTAAGCTGTATATGTAATGTTTGATGTGTAATAGTTTCATACATATTAAGCATTAGCTATTGTCAATGAAACATGCCATTTCAAAATAAATATACTTTCATTATGCTTGTCCAAATATGACCTCTTTTTGTTGTGTGCATCTCAGATTTATTTTTATAAATGTTAACACTTAGAAAAAAAAGAAAAGGTCAGACATAACAAGATTGTCAGCCTAATCATCAGTCATAACTTTATGTCCACATTTTCTGGTAGATGGATTTTGACTATTAATTTGGTTTTGTATGTTTTCTCTATGTGATATTTGTGCATTATTAGATGACTAGACTGGCCAAGGCAGACCTGTTACACTTGCCTGACACTTGCCTGAGTTAGGCATTGTTTGCCATGCCACTAAACCTGCCGTCAAGTGAAACCTTCATTGGGGAAATGAGATCGGAGTCTGAACCGCAGAAGATGGACGCCCTGTCTCTGTTTTTTATTGTTTTACTTTACTTTAATTTCTTTTTCTTTATTTTGTCCCTTTTTTGTTTTTGTTTTGTTAAATCTCTTTCACTTTAACTTGTGAGCTGGTTTTCCAGTTCTTTGTAAATGGTATTCCATTAAGGATTCATAACATTGCATTGCAGAATATATGGGGAGATGATCAGAGCTCAATCTTAAGATAAAATAAAGTTTCACAGTAAATTAGGGTATAGTGAGTATTAGAAGGCTCAGCGGGAATGTTAATTGGTGTTTATAGACTGATCAGGTACATTTGTTCTTGAAACACTGATACGATTATTAGAAACATTTTCTGACCTTAGTGCAACATTTTGCAGTTTTTCTCCCAAATGTATATGTCTTATAAAAATCAACTGATTGCATCTCCCTGCTAGAATTTTAGCCATACAGAATCATGGAAAATAAGTATATTTCTTATAACAATCTGGGATAGAGGACACAAAGAGACTTTCACTTTAATGATAGTTATTCATTATAGAAAATAACATTTCCTTATAAAGACCTAGTTGCCTGTGAGGGGAATGGATATTTGAGAAGCTATTAAGTACTTATGTGTGTGTGTTTCTCTGTTTTCTTGAATTTTTTGTTGAGAAATACTCAGAGTTTACTAGCTTCTAAATGGATTCTGAGATTTAGGACTATTAATGTCATACAGTGAGAAACATTGTTCTCTCAGTTGTCATTGAGTATAATTTGGGAAAAATGCTAAATGTTCATTTTTTTTATACTTTTATATGCTGATAGTATTTAGAGGGTAAGTTTGATAAAATTCTGTCTTGGAAGTTAACTAATGGAACTTTCTTTAAGTATCTTTAATAATAATTAGGATAAGAAAAAATTAGTGTGCTTACAGTTAGACTTTATAATAGTTTTTTACTACTATGAGAAGCAGTGGGAGTCAATCTACAGATGCTTTTTTTTTTTTTTTGAAGCCCACAGTGAAAGGCTTTATAATATTAAGTATTCAACTTTTGGCCTGTGTTGAATACTCTTATTGTTTGTGTATCTTTTTACATCTCTTGTATGGATAATTTGGCTTATTTAATTGACAAATAATATATTAAATTGGGACTTTAGATTGGAACATTAGGGTAGCAGAGCACAGAGTTTATAACCGTAGGACCTAAGTTGATTTATCAAGATGTATTTAGGTTTTACAAACATTTAAAAATAATTCCTATTTATAACAAAACATGCCTAATAGCAATATAAATAGTATAGTATATTTGTGGGTATACAGATATATGTATTAATACTAGTAACTATTAAATATAAAATACTGTTATTTGATATTTTCAGTAAGGCCTACCTTTCATTTATCTTTATGCATGTTAAAAAATTTATGCTTATGCAGAATTTACACTAATAAAATAGCTGTTTTTGAAATTAGTAGATTAAAGTAATATAGACTTAGATGTTTCAAAGATTAGAAAAAAGTAGGCATTTATTAAAGCTAATGTAATTTTTTTCTTCCTGTAAATAAGGTGTAACCATTATTAAAAGCAAGTTTTAAAATCCATCTTGAATTCCATTCATATTTAGAGATATGTTTAAATAGTATTGTTTAGAGGTTTATCTCTGCATATCTGGTTGCTTTAAATAAGAGTTTTTACCACTAAAACCTAGCATGGTGCTTTTGAAAAATTTACTCCATGTGCTATTTTCAGTTTAGCATGATTTATAAACTGTTTTAAATTATTTTTGAACTCATAATGGAAATGTGTAGCTAACAAATTATGAGTAGTTCTTCCAAAATAGCTACATGTAGTCAACTTTTTTTTGTTGTTAATCCTCACCCGAGGATATTTTTTCATTAATTTTTAGAGAGAGTGGAAGGAAGGGTTGATACAGAGAGAGAGAGAAAGAAAACCACATCTTTTGGTTGCCTCCTGCACCCACCGGGGATCAACAAGCCCGTAACCTAGCATGTGCCCTTGACCAGAATTGAACCTGGCACCCTTCAGTCCTCAGGCCGATGCTCTATCCACTGAGCAAAACTGGCTAGGGCACTGTAGTCAACTTTTTTAGAAGTAAATTTTTTGGGGGGAAGAGAGAGGACCAGGAAAAATGCATGGAAGTTGAAGTCCTTATTAAAATTAATTGATTAGAATTCAGTAATTAAATATCACAAATTGATGGACTTATGTCAGAGTAAATTTTTAGTTTTAGTCAGGAATTTTTTTCTTAGCATCTAAGGTTATTTCAGTGTTATTAGGAGATGTTTATAAGCAACACGTTTAGGGATCAGCTATCTTCAGATAAGTATACATAAATTGGTTCTAAAAGTCAATGATTTAAAAAGTTTCCTGAGATTAGGGAAGTTATTTTATTAGTTATTCTAAAAAGTTTTAGCAGTTTCCCAAGGCATATTCTTTGGACCTGGGTTCTTTTGAGCATTCCTGACGTTGGGAGGTGACTTACTAACTGAATGGGTGTAAGTTTTTTTAAAAATTGAAGCTGATTTCATGCAGTAGGTTTTTGTTTTTTTCTGTCTACTTGAAATTAAATGGAATTTATTGGAAGGGTTATCAAAATTGTTTGCATCACAAGTAGGTAGTTTCAATAACAGGATAGGGGCACTCAGTAAGGAACAAATTTCAATTCGCACATATTTGTTTTTTCTTTTTCTTTTTTTTTGACTAATTTGGTTATTTGCCATTTCTGGGGATTAAACTTTAAAAAATGTTCTTCTTTTCTGTATCTGATGTTCTGTGTGCTATTAGTGATGCAGCCAACACGAACGGTTGTCATGTGTAACACAACTTTCGATCACCGCGAAAACACCGTCCTGGGAAAGCGTCCATGCTTGATATCGTTTGGTTCATGAACATTAAGTTTCCAGTACAGGTGACCCATAGCTCAAAGTGTTAAATAATTGTCTACATTATTCAATTTTTAAAATAATATTCCATTAATGAGATTGTTAGTCTTTGAAATTTTGCTCACTTTTATTTTTCCTAGTAGAGCAGGATAAAAGGAAAGACTTAAGTTGTAATTTATTTCTTTATATGGATCTGATAGATAGATTCATTTATTATTATTATTTTTTAAGTACAAGGGTAATTGTAAAATCATAGTGTAAAGTTTGTGTGGTGTTTCTGCTTTCTGTAATGTTTGAAACTTGCCTCTGCAGGTAAAATCCCAGAGGAATCGAAAGCCCTCTCTTTATTGGTTCCTGCTCCAACCATGACAAGTCTGATGCCTGGTGCAGGCTTGCTTCCCATACCGACCCCAAATCCCTTGACTACAGTAAGTATTATATACCTTCTTCTAAAAGGGATGAATGTTCAACTGTTTAACCAGTTGAATAAAGAGCTTAGAAAATTTTTATCTTGAATCTTTTTTATTTTAATGGAGTGATCCGAAAATCGACTTAATTTTCCCCCCTCAATTGTCAATTACTGTACTTAAACTATCCTTTGGAATTCTGAAGTAATTGAAGAGTCATTTAAATTTAGAACTTACGTTAATTATTCATTAGCAAATCAGTTATTGAAATTCAGCATTTTAGACAGCATGGTGAATTGAAGAATCTAGGTAACAATATTTCCCAATTCATGAGTACTACACTTATTTAAAAAATATGAACTGATTTACAACCTGATAATGGGAAAAAATATCTCAGAGAAGGATTTATCTAATTGAGAAAATGTAATAAGGTAAAAACATGACAAAATATTTTTTTATGAATTCTGTAGAAATAATAGTAATTTAATATCTCCTTTGTGATTTCTGAGTGGGGTTAAAAAAAGATACTGTTGTTACTGTACTCTTGGTTTTTATGTAAAAGATTCAGGTCATAATTATTTTAAAAGAGTGGTCCTGGGTTCTATTCCAATCAGGGGCTCGTGCCCAGGTTGCGAGCCTGGTCCCCAGTGAGGGAGGGGCATGCAGAGGGCACTCAGTCAATGATTCCCTCTCATTGATGTTTCTCTCTCTCCTTTCTTCCTCTCTGAAAGCAATAAAAAAATACGTTTTTATAAAAGGGTCATTTTTCTACGAAAACAAACCCAAGACAAAATATAAATCTCACCTTAAATTGAAAGTTTTATCTAGCTTTGTGGTACTAGATTTTTAGGGAGTGAACTCATGTTTTATGATTATAATTAATGTGTCCAAGTTATAAAAGTGGGTTCTGAAACTGAAGTGCAAAATTTTAGGTCTTTTAATTTTACATGACATTGTTCTGATGGAGATCTTCATTGTGATTTGTAGTGGGAAATGCTTTTTAAATTCAATAGTTGATCATTTGTATTGAGCTTTCTAGAAATTTTATTTTGGGTACATTTTGGTATATTTTAATTCCTTTGACCCCCCCTGCCACCCTCAAGTATTTTCTTGCTATTTTGAAAACCATTAGGGTTTATTTATCAACAATATAAAGTTTTTATTGTTTAATTTGTTGCCCTTAGGGAGAATAGTTTCTTCTTAATTCATCTGTAGAGAATCTGTTGTTATAGAACTTAGTTTATGAGGAATAATTTCAGTTAGAAAATAGAAAGGTGGCCCATTGTGTTTTAGCTCCTGGTTACCTCTCTGACTTTTTTTCCTGGCTCACTCTACTTCACCTTTGCCATTTCTTAGACATGTCAAGTACATTTCTGCCTTCGGGTTTTTGTACTTATTTATCCTCTGCCTAGAACTTTATTTTCCAGACATTAGAAAGGTTTACTTTTAAACTTTTTCATAACAGTGAAACTGTTCATCAGGTTTCTATTTAAAAGGGAGGCTAAAGTTTCTGAATAAGAAGGCAAAATGTGTTACATCTGGAGACCAGATCATCTTTAACCCATCAAAGACCAAAGGGCAACTAAATATTTAGGTTCCTTAGCCCAGGGCTAGAAAGTAGATTAAGCTAAAGAAGGGCAACTTTAATATTACAGAGCAGGCACATCCAATAGAACTTCCTGCCATGATGGCAATGCCTGTTTGTATCTGTACTATTGGGTGTGGTAGCCACCAGCAGCCGAGCTGTTAGGCCCTTGAAATGTGGCTAGTGTGACTGAGGCACTGAATTTTAATTAAAAATCAAAATCAAACTTTATATTCAACAATATAGAAAATATTTAATTAAGGTATTTTCTACAACTTTTTTTTTAAAAAAAAATATATTTTATTGATTTTTTACAGAGAGGAAGGGAGAGAGATAGAGAGTTAGAAACATTGATCAGCTGCCTCTTGCACATCTCCTACTGGGGATGTGCCTGCAACCCAGGTACATGCCCTTGACCGGAATCGAACCTAGGACCTTCCAGTCCCCAGGCCGACACTCTATCCACTGAGCCAAACTGGCTTCGGCTCTACAACTTTATGATAACTTGAAATGGTGATGGTGAGCAACAAATCTAAGATCTGTTAGTAGCAAGATACCACAGATTATAATAAACTAGAGGCTCGATGCACGAATTCATGCACAGGTGGGGTCCCTCTGCATGGCCTGCAGGGATTGGGCCGAAACCCGCAGTCCAATGCCACCTGCAGCTCCTGCTCATCCTGACCCCACTATGCCTGCCTCAGGCTCATGCCCAATCAGTCCCAATCGGGAGAGGTTCGCACTGCTGCAGCAGCGCTTGCCAGCCATGAGCCCTGCTCATCAGCCATGAGCCCTGCATCTGGTGCCCTCGCAAGGGGAGTGGCCTGCGGGATCGGGCTGAAACCAGCTCTCTGACATCCCCCGAGGGGTCCCAGATTGCAAGAAGGTGCAGGCCAGGCTGAGGGGCCCCACTGGTGCACCATCGGGCAGGGAGGGACTGCGGGAGGGCTCCAGGGCATGTCTGGCCCATCTCGCTCAGTCCTGATCAGCCAGACCCCAGCAGCAAGCTAACCTACCTGTTGGAGCATCTGCCCCCTGGTGGTCAGTGCACGTCATAGTGACTTGTTGACCAGTTGACTTTCTGCCCCCTGGTGGTTAGTGCACGTCATAGCGAGTGGTTGAGCAGCCTTAGCATATCATTAGCATATTACGCTTTGATTAGTTGTTCAGTTGTTCTGCCGTTCCATCTATTTGCATATTACCCTTGTATTATATAGAATACTATGAAGGGAAAAAACCAGTCATGTGGTAGAGAGTAAATGAAGCTTCATATAATAAGGTCAGGGAAACTGACTTGGAGCAGATGATTAAACTGATACTGGAAGAAGTCATCTGGCAGAAGCGGGGAGAAGAGCTTTCAGGGCAGGAGGAAGGAGCACTATGTGAAAAGCCCTAAGGTGGACCCGGGCTGGGTGGCTCAGTTGAGTGGTGCATTATCCCGTACTCCAAAAGGTTGTGGGTTTGATTTCAGGTCAGGGCACATAGGTTGTGGGTTCAATACACATTTGGGCCAAGTATGGGAGGAGCCAATCGATGTTTCTCATATGGATGTTTCTCTCCCATTCTCTAAAAATCAATGAACAAACATATCCTCCGGTGAGGATTTTTTAAAAACCCTAAGATTTGAAAAACGTGTGTGTTCAAGGTACAGAATTGCAATCAGTGTGGTTGAAGCATAGTGAGTGAAGGGAGGGATAGTTAGGGCTTTTTAGGTCATGGAAAGGAATTTACCAGTAATTTTTATTCAAAGGTAATGAGAAGTCATGGATGAGTTTTAGACAGGGGTAAGACATGATTTGACATGCTTTTAAAAGATCGCAAGCTGGCTGTTTTGACAAGCATAAGTGATACTTTTTTTCATCAACTTGTATTTTCACTTTTAAGAAGTGTTATTAACGGTTGTTGAGTCTTAGTAATTTTGCAATAATATATCCGTATGTAGTCAGTGCTCAAAATTTTCTTAAATTGTATAAGTGGAAATGGAAGTGGTAGTGTTTTTGTCCTTGAAAGGGTTTTTTGTTAATTCTGCAAAACTTTTTCATTTTCAAATTCTGAGATTTCCATCTTTTCTAGTTTAAGTATACATTAAAAATATGTTCTTTAATGCTTGAACTAAAAACTGAGTGTACTAGTGTTATGAAAGATCACTCAAAGGTTTTTGTCCTTTTCCTGCAATAGTATAAATAAGGGCTTAATATTTTAGGGGTATTTTCCTTAGGTAAACTTTGCCCCTGTTATTTAATTTTAGTCTGTAAATGATGGGACCCTGCTTTAACCATGTGTTAGCTGAGTATCTTTGGGAAAATTATTTAATTTCTCTCATTCTTTCTTATCTGTGATAATAGTAATAATAATGGTCTCTTAGGGTTGATATGACGATTAATAACCCAGGAAAAATTAAGTGCTATGATATTGTTAACTAGTGCACAGTTGGTGTTGGTGAATGCCCAAGATCCAATCAGTTCTTATTGTTTGTAAGTTCACCCACTAGCTAAAATTTAGAAGACTCAAAATCAGTACTTGTGCTTTTGCAGTCATTCATCGACACACACAGAATCATGATAAATTTGAGTTTTTGATATGTACATTCCCAGATGAAGTCAAACAGAGGAGTGCTCTTTTTTTAGATTTAATGCTGTTCAAGTGTACCTCTTTTTTGTTTTGCTTTGTTTTGTTAATCCTCACCTGAGGATATTTTCCCATTGTTTTTCAGAGACAGTGGAAGGGAGGGGGAGAGACAGGGTGAGAGAAACATCGGTGTGAAAGAGACACACCGATTGGTTGCCTCCCACACATGCCCTGACCAGACTGGGGATCAAGCCTGCAACTGAGATACATGTCCTTGCCCGTAATTGAACCCTTGACCCTTCTGTCCACGAGCTGATGCTCTATCCACTGAGCCAAACTGGCTAGGGCCAGGTGTACCTGATTTTACTGCACTGTGCTTATGTCCTTACATGTTTTTTTTTTTTTTTTTTACAAATTGAAAGCAATACCCTGCACCAGCAAAAAGATTACAACTCTCCCTGTTGTGGTGGTGCAGTGGTCTGTAATTGAAACGGCAATATCTCCAGGGTATGCCTATAAATAAGAGTCCTTGTTGTGGTCTGTTTAGTGCCATGTTTTTCACATTTTGTACTTTTTGTGAATGATTTCACCATTTTAATAAGCTCCCAAGTGTAGTGTTAAAGTGCCGTCTAGTGTTTCTAAGGGCTGGAAGGCTGTGATATGTCTTACAGAGAAAATATGTGTTAGGGTTCCTTCAGGAATGAGTTGATAGTGCTTCTGACTATGAGTTCAATGATAATGAATCAAAAATAAATGTTAAATAAGGTGTCTTTAAACAGAAACACAACATAAAACAAGGGTATGTGTTGGTTGATGAAAATATTATGACCAGAGACTTGTTAGGAACCTAGCCTTCTATTTTCCCTAGGAACAGTGATTCAGTATTCAACAGTTCAGTGTTTGTGGCAACTTGATAGTACATAACTACTGCAGATAATGAGAATTCAGTAGGACATAACTACTGCAAATAATGAGAATTGAGTGTTTTTAGTGTTAAGATTAAGAGTAGATAAAACATCCAGATAGTCGCCCTAACCGGTTTGGCTCAGTGGATAGAGCGTTAGCCTGCGGACTCAAGGGTCCCGGGTTCGATTCTGCCAAGGGCATGTACCTTGGTTGCGTGCACATACCCAGTAGGGGGTGTGCAGGAGGCAGCTGATCGATGTTTATCTCTCATTGATGTTTCTAACTCTCTATCCCACTCCCTTCCTCTCTGTAAAAAATCAGTAAAATATATTAAAAATAATCCAGATAGTCAAGAAATATGTGGCATTTCGAATTACATTAAAAACTTCTGTGACCTCCCTCTTAATAATTCAGACATATCCCTGGCTTAAAGCTAGGAGCCCCTAGTTTCTTCCCATTGTTGTTGAGTTGATCAATTCTTTTCAAGATTAGTTAATGGTAATTTTTGATACTAACCAAAAATGTGCTTTTTTCCCCTTCTTCTTAATAGCTGGGTGTTTCCCTTAGCAGTTTGGGAGCTATACCAGCAGCAGCACTAGACCCCAATATTGCAACACTTGGAGAGATACCACAGCCACCACTTATGGGAAATGTGGATCCTTCCAAAATTGATGAAATCAGGAGAACAGTCTATGTTGGCAATTTGAATTCCCAGGTAATGAAGACACTGATTCTTTCCCCCTTCTTAAAAATCATATAGATTGATAAAGTAATATTTACCTGATTTAAAAAAAAAGAATATACTTTATTAAAATGTTACTTTGTTTCTTTAGACAACAACAGCTGACCAGCTACTCGAATTTTTTAAACAAGTTGGAGAAGTGAAGTTTGTACGGATGGCAGGTGATGAGACTCAGCCAACTCGGTTTGCTTTTGTGGAATTTGCAGACCAAAATTCTGTACCAAGGGCCCTTGCTTTTAATGGAGTTATGTTTGGAGACAGGCCATTGAAGTAAGAAACCCTAAACAAAGAAATTTTAATGATTTTTGGAAAACTTTAAAGTATTTTTGATGTAATTAAGGCTTTTTTTTTTCTTTTTAATAGTAATTGGCAATTTGTGGAAAGGAAGACTTTGTGTTAAGTATACTAAATGAGTACCTGAGATACCATTTTAGCCTTTATGGTTGTATTTGAAGACATCTTATTTTCTCTTTTATAAAGTTTAATTTAATGTTAATGTTGGTTAAATATCCTATATAATGATCATAGGTATTTTTCCATAAGCTTTAACAGGTCATGTGGGTTTTGCATTATGACGGGACTAATGGACAATTTAACATATGGGTTGAACTTCTTTAATAATACAGTAATAAGAATTTTGGTAAATCCAAAATCCCAGGAAGAAAATAATATTAAGCACTCAGAAATGATCTGAATCATACATTTTGAGTTTTAAGGTTGGCTCCTATCTTTGTTTGCAAAATGAGAAATTGATGTAGCCTGTCAGATACTCTATTTTATGCAGATTATTGAGGTAATTACCTTAGTTATACAGTTTGATAAGGATTCTGATATTAAAGGATAAATAACTGTTCCTAATGAAAGCTTGTCTTCTATTGTGGAAGGGGTGAGACTGAAGAAATTCTTCTATGTGCATCAGAGAAACCACTGTTGCCTGGCAGATAAAGAGTTTTATCAAATGCCTCCCACATTCAAAGCTGGGTTTGACTCAGCTGTGGTCCAGGGGTGATTAAAATAGTGTACAGAATATACAGCTTCCCTTGCTCTTCCTAGGGTGAGAGGTTATCAACAAAATCTTATAATCTAAGAATAGAAGTGATTGATTTTAATATTGGTGTCAACATTTTAATTTATTATAATTCTAAGGTGTACAGGGGAAGTGGTTATCCTGGCCTATTTAAGTTGTTAAAGAAGTCAGCTAACATTCAGAGTTTTTTTCTCCTCTTGCTTTTGGCTTTGTTAGCAAGAGATGATGGCAGGTGGAAATGAGATTCATTATGGTTTTTGAGGTTGGTTGTGGTTATTCTGTATTTAGCTATATTACTCTTAATGTGCTTTCAAGGCGTCGATTCATAAATATATGTATCATGTAAACAATTGTTTCATGTTTTGTAAAAGATGGTGTGTATTTGTGATATGCTAATGTTTTTAATTTAGAATAAATCACTCCAACAATGCAATAGTAAAACCCCCTGAGATGACACCTCAGGCTGCAGCTAAGGAGTTAGAAGAAGTCATGAAGCGAGTACGAGAGGCTCAGTCATTTATCTCAGCTGCTATTGAACCAGGTAAGGTCATAGTGTTGTTACACAGGTCATAGTTTAAGATCATAGAATTTTAGAACTGCAAGGAATTTTAGAAATTAATCTTGTTCAGTTCCTTCATTTTACAAACAAGAAGACTGAAACTCAAGAAAGAGTAAGTGACTTACTAATGTCAAAGGTCAAAGAAGTACTTAGCACATTCTTTTCCCATGATACTGAATTGAGGCACATTAGCCTGAGTTAATCAGTTTTATACTTTAAGAGCAAAATTAGTGCTCAAAACTGACTTGCTTAAAGCAATGTATAAATGTTATTGTGAGACCAAAAACAAGAATAAATATATTTAAAATGTGATGATTAGGCAGACTTACTTTTCATCAAAGTTTTAATTGTAAATATAAAAAAGATTCTGTGAGTTAGGGAAAATACAGACACTGTTTTAGCAAGGTAAAAGAACACTTACCTCTTCAAACTTTTGTGTTGCTAACTAAAATTTAAGAATCCAATTTAAAACTGTCTAGATGGTTTACATTTGAGCAAGTTTTCTAAATTAGCACTCAGAATTTAAGCCTCAATTCTAGCAAAATAAATGGAGAAAGATTTAAAATCACTGTTATAGGAATTAGAGACATGTTATAATCGTACATTATGGCAGCAACAAAATATTACGAACAGCTGTTTATAATCATCTGGTTTATATGTACTGCTGCAGGGTGGCTGCACTCAACGAGTTTATGCAATGACTTTCTTGGATGTTTCTGAAGGATAATTGCACAGGAGGAGGATGTACAGAGAGTAGGCCCCTTGCACTATATGTGGTACATTCCACTTGTGCCTGATTATTAACTGGGATCTTTAATTGTTCTGAGCTTACACTGCAAAGTGGTTTTTTCCTCCCAGAGTCTGGAAAGAACAATGAAAGAAAAGGCGGTCGATCTCGTTCCCACACTCGTTCCAAATCCAGGTCTAGCTCAAAATCCCATTCTAGAAGGAAAAGATCACAGTCGAAACACAGGTGAGAATTTCTGCTATCAATTTAAATTTTTTTGGTTTTGTATTAAAAATAGTTAAGATTTCTGAGTTTTTGTCCAAATGTCAGAATTTAGAAATTTCATAGAGTTCACCAGAAAGTATGGTTACCATGAAATATTGCTTTAATTATAATTAACTGTAGTTAAAAATGTAATTTTTAATACATCATTTTTATTTCAATGAATTTTTAGTTTTAGAAGTTGGTTTTCTATCTTAAGATGCAATGTTTCTGATTTTTCTAAGAGTAAACGAGTGTTTATACAGACTAGCAGAAACTTTGCATATTGAGAAACGGGAACCGTGTATGTGGTGATACTGATGGCTGATTGCTGAAGTTGCTGCCCCCTCCCTCTTCCCAGTCCACTCAAGTGTTGGAAGTACCATCCCAAATCTTGTTTTCAAGTCCTTCTTCTCTTCAGTACTTTGGTACCTGAAACAGGAGTGACTTCCAGCTTTAGTTCCAACTATTGTATTGTGCTTAAGCTCTGTTTCTGTTTTGTTTTATTTTTGAGCATAGCTCTGTTGTTTTAACTTTTTTTAAAATCTGTTGTGTTTGACTCAAAGGGGATCTCAGTTGTCTTCTTTAAGATGTAGAGGGACTGTTACTGAAATGTGGAAATGTATATAGTGGATTCTAACTGTATGCTGTATGCACACACATACCTAGGCCTGAAGAGAAGAGGTAGATAATAGTGTGTGCATGTTTATTTGTGTGAGATGTGAGGGTATTAGAAAAGGAGGGGAGAGTTTTAGGGGAGGGAACCAGTATGCTGCAGTATGTTGAACCTCACCAGCAAGCTCAGTTTAGTCTGTTTTTCTGTGTTGTTCAAGGAGATTGAAACAATGAGATAAGAAAATATTTCTTTGACTCTAATAGGGCATACTTCTTGGCTATTTACTGGTTTATACTTCTCTGTTATTCTTAGTTTGGAAAATCTCCTTTGGCATGTGGTTTTACTGTATTCTTCCATCCAAGGTCTTACAATAAAATAAAGCAAGTTCAGATCCAAGTGAAGGAAGTTGTTTCATGTAAAAGGAATGACCAGTGCAGCAGAAGCCAGAACTGGAGAAGGAAAGGGGTATAGAAGCAGTGGTGCTAGATTGTTGACATTTTTATAGGTTGACAGGATGTGGTGAACATAAAGGAGGTCAAGGAAATACAGAATTGAATTGAAGAGTTCATTTTGTGTTGATTACAAGAGCCAGGCTCCAAATCTAATACCTTAGTAGTTTTCTAGGCTAGAATAAAACCAAACTTAATGATTGACATCATTGTTTCCTTGATAATCTCTGGGAAGCTTTATCTGTTGGGGCAAGTAATTTAACTATCCTCTTTAAGGTTTTTGCTCTCATCGTTTTAACTATATTTGGGTATTTTCCCTTTGTAAGGGTTAGTGGGGAGGAGGATTATTCAGTCTAAACTGAAATTTGTTAATTGTTTCTCATTCATGCGACTGCTTTCATGTAGGTCTAACTGTGTAGCGTTATAAATTACTTATCCTTGGCATGCATACAATTGACCCTTGAACAACATGGGTTTGAACTGCATGGGTCCACCTATATGTGGATTCTTTTCAGTAAATATATAGCTCTCCATATCTGTGGGTTTAGGGTTCATGAATTCAGTCAACCACATATCGAAGACAGTACATATTTTCGATCTGCAGTTAGGAATCCACAAAAGTGAGAGGCCTACCATATGCATTGTTCCATGCCATCCTATATAATAAAACCCTAATATGCAAATTGACCAATGGCGGAATGACCTGTCGCTGTGATGCACACTGACCACCAGGGGACAGACGCTCAATACAGGAGCTACCCCCTGGTGGTCAGTGTGCTCCCATGGGGAGCGCTACTCAGCCAGAAGCCGGGCTTCCAGCTGGTGAGCACAATGGTGATGGTGTGAGCCTCTCCTGCCTCCGTGGCAGCGCTAAGGAGCAGTGAGCAGACGGGTGGTAAGGACGAGGGGTCCCAGACTGCAAGAGGGCGCAGGTCAGGCTGAGCGCCCCCCATTCCATGAGTGTCGTGCACTGGGTCTCTAGTTTTGTATAAGGGACTGGAACGTTTGCAGAATTTGGTATCTGTGGTGGGAGGGGTTAGTTCTGGAATCAATCTTTTTTGGATTCTGAGGGATGACTGAAGTTTTGGGGGAGTTAGAAGATTTTTGACTGTCTGGTGGGTCAGCACTCCAACCCCTGCATTGTTCAAGATTCAACTGTATATATACACACATATCTACATACATACACACACATATACATGAATACACACACACATTTTTGGTAAGCATATACTATTTTTATACATGGTTTATAGAAACATAAAGCTTTTACTAAGTTCTTAAATACATAAGAGGATAAGTTATGTTTAAAGGGGGTGGGGGGAAAAACTCCTTACCCAGAAAACTTAAGGATCTTGCCATGGAAGTAACTTCCCCCACCCCAGTAGGGGAGAGGGATGTCGGACATTTCTTGGCTTTGCCTCCCCTGCTGTTGGGATTTGATGCCCTTAGCGCTAGCTCTGACCTGCTAGACTTAGCAGGAGTGTGGGTTGTAGGAGCCCTGTCTCTTGAAGGCCACCTTTCTATGTTCTCACTGTGCTCAGGTGCTTCTAAGCCCCTGCCCTTCTTATTCCTTCCTCTTAGGAGGGAGGAAGGGGTTTTTTGTCACTGTGACCTTGGTTAGGACTGGGATGATTTGTTCCCACTTTTTGTTTCCAAATTTTTATGTGTTCTCATCCAGATAGTGTTAGGAAAGATGGGTGGCACTCTAATTATTATATTTTAAAGACCAGCATAGGACTGTAAGACATTTAATAACATTTTATGGGAAACAACTGACTTACAATTTTTGCAACGTGATGGTAAATTGCCCTTTATTCACTTTAATTTATAAATGCAATTTTGCACATTACTCTAAAATGAGAACAGCTAACAATAATTCAAATCTTATCTTTGGTTGGATTAGATTTACTCTTGACTTGAAGCTTTTAGCATTCCTAGTTAAAAAACTTGTAGGTGACTAGAGGGTGATGTAGAGACACGAAAATATTTAATGTCAAAATTAAAATACAATAATTATTCTTGGGCAGTAACTTTCAAACTCTAAGGAGACCTACAGGGTAAGGTAGGAAGCCAAGTAGCTTGTATCTATCAGGGGTCTGGTTAAATATTTTAAAGGGTTTTCTTTGCTTAATTAAGGTGGAAAGCACTGTTTGATTAAAACAAATTATTTATATTTTTAGTAAAGTTAAGAACAGAAGTCTTAAGATTTTTTATTAAGTACAAAGAAGCAAAGGCCCTTTATCCTATGTGGATGTCTGTAAATGGACTAAAAATGTTCTCAGTTTTGTATTTTTGCCTTAATACCTATTAGTTGATCCTTGTATCTCTTAGGTTATTATTGATAAAAATTTCAACAAACTCTGACTTATCTTCTTATATTAAAAACGTGGTATGAAGATAAATGTATAATTTTTAAAGACATAATAGATGAGTGGTTCAGTTGAAAATTAGCTGTTGAAAAACAAATTTTGACTGAAAAAGGCGTTTAAAAAACAAGATTTCATTATTAATCAAGGGTTGTCTGATTTCATAGTATACCACAAGCATTTAACTATATGTATTTCTTTTATAGATATTTGTTTTAATTCATGAAAACATGACTCTCAAAATGAGTTTTAATTATATAAAGCATACTTATGAAAGCTCATTTGACCTCTTTGGAATAAATATAGATAGAATTTAAAGTTTTCATATATACTGTTGATGGTGATGACAGTGAGAGTTAGGAATTTTAAGCATTTACTCTGTGCCAGAGACTGCTAGGCAGTTAATTTTCCATACATCATCTGATTTAATTATCATGACAGCCCTATAATTCTTACTCCATTTACAAATGAAGAAACTCAGGATAGAGAGGTTGACTAGTCAAAGTTCTCACAGCTAGTGTGCGGCAGAGCTGAGTGTTAGGCTCAGATTGTCTGACTCCAAAGCCAGTGACTCGTCAGTTTATTATTAAGGTTGTGTGCATTCAGTATTGTTATATTTTAATAGTTCCTAGGATATTTCATTATAAAAAACACTAGAGGCCTGGTGCACAGATTCGTGCACCGGTCGGGTCCTGCAGCTAGGCCTGTGGGGATTGAGCTGAAACTGGCAGTCCGACATCCCTCGGGGGGTCCTGGAGTGCAAGAGGGCACTCTGCAAAGTTGCTGTCACTTGGCAGCTCCAGTGTTGAGCATCTGCCCCCTGGTGGTCAGTGCGTGTCATAGGTACCAGCCAGTTGGCTGGTCGTTTAGGCCTTTATATATATAGATATTACATAAGCAGTTATTTCAGTGGGAAAAGAAGCCTAGAGAATTTCACAATTGGAAAAACCAATGTTTTTTTCCTTCTACAATTTCAGTAATAAGGGTTTCTTTTAATAGCTATCTTTATCTATATATATAAAAGGCTAATATGCTAAGTGTATGTCCAACCGGTTCAGTTGAAAACAAGACGCACACTGACCATCATGGGGCAGACGCTCAATGCAGGAGCTGCCATGACATGGACTGGCCATTACAAAGAAATGGTACCGTGGACCTGGCACCAACAAAGCAACACTCGGCTTCCCCCAAGTGGGAAACAGGCCTTGCCACCTTCCCAGAGCGACACCCCACCAAATCGCAGCCAATGCTGCTGAGACCCCATGGCGCAAAATGTGGCCCACAGCCCAGCTTGGAAACAGTCGCTGTGGGTGCCAGGTAATGACGTCACGTAGGAACGCCCGGCTTCCTCTCCCCAGCATCTAGCCTCCTTGGAGTTTCTTCAGCCCAGGAACATGACTTGCTTTATAGACACATGCAAACATTTTACACATCAACCAAATGTCTGTGAAGCATTTTCCTATGCCTCATCTCATTTGATCCTCACAGAAGTCCTGGAGTAGGTAGATAGGAGACTTGAGAAAATCCTGTTTTCTTTTCATTAGCTGGAAAACAGAGAGTTAGAAAGTTTAGAAACTTGACCTGACTGAAAAGAATAAACGGTAGACTTTGAAAATGACTTTAGGTTTTCTCATTGTATAGAATATAGTCAACACTGCTGCAGTTAAATATTTTACCCTTTGTTCTCCCTTCGTGATCAACAGTAATAATCAGCTTTGTGTTGATATTTACTGCTCTGTTGCTGACAATTACTTGGAAGAGAAGTTGGGGTGCTTCACTAGGCTGGAAAAAACTTAGCTAAATCAGAAAGCAGGTCTAATTAAGCAAGTTTATTCTATATATATAAAAGGCTAAGTTGACTCGCACATGCACAATACATATAAAACTCTCACTGGCGCCAATCACTAGTATAGTTATAAAAGCAGGGCCTTACAAATCCAACGTTTGGTTATGTCTAGCTTTAACTCAAGTGATGATGCTTATTTTTCTGTCACACTAGTACTGTCACTAGTGCTATGCTGCTTATATCTTCATAATATGTATTTTGACAAACAGCACACAGCCATTTATAGAAACTATTGAACTGTGTAATCACTACTCAAGATTACAACTTGTCAAGATAAGTTGTAGTTCCAAGTAGTCATTACATGCAAGTCAAGAGTTAAAGACAATTTGTGATATGGAAACTTGGATCATAGGAGAAGTCGTTTATATTAAGGCACGTAATAATTAGCAAAAGAGATTCGCATGAGAAGAAGAGATAATGCACAGAACTAGCATTATTTTGTCTTCTGTTTTCACAGAGGTATATTCCGTTTTGTGAGATATTCTGGAGGGGGGAAAAAAGGAAAATAAGTTAGCAAAAGAAAGCCACACCTGAGAAATGTTAACTTAAATCTGACACAGGAAATAACTTAAATTCTTTCTCTGTTTTTATCTTGGTGTTCTGAATAATGATCAATCTGATAAAGTTTCCATAAATAAAGTATTTTAGATAATCTAACTAAAGCACTACATAGTGGAGAATTTTAAAATATTGATACATATTTTGGGATAGTTTTAAAAATTCTCTTATTTGAAAGACATCACTAAAAGTTGAAATTCTAAGAAAAAGATTTGACATTCTAACAATTTGTTTTTCTTTAGGAGTAGATCCCATAATAGATCACGTTCAAGACAAAAAGATAGACGTAGATCTAAGAGCCCACATAAAAAACGCTCTAAATCCAGGGAAAGACGAAAGTCAAGGAGTCGTTCACATTCACGGTGAGTTTTGGGTGAAAAAAAAGGCTTTGTTAAAAATCTGTTGTGAGGGAAAATAAACTTTTTTTCTGATTGTTTTAGTAATGATTAATATTGGTTGCCGTTGATTTGGATCTGATTGCCATTATGACTCATGAGGTTTCTGTACTTAATTCCACCTGGTATTTGTTTTTATTTTACTAATTAATCAATTATTTTAATCCTCACCTGAGGTCATTTTTTTCATCAATTTCTAGAGAGAGTGGAAAGGAGGTAGGCAGGGGAAAAAAGAGAAACACACACACACACAGAGAGAGAGAGAGAGAGAGAGAGAGAGAGAGAAAGAGAGAGAGAGAGAAACATTGGTGTGAGAGAGACACATTGGCCACTTCCCGCACACACCACAACTGGTCCAGGGATTAAACCTGCAACCCAGGTAAGTGCCCTTGACTGGAATCAAACCTGCAACCCTTTGGTGCATGGGCTCTAATGATTTAGTAGTACTGGCCAGAGTGATATTTGTTTTATTTAGTAGCTTCAGTTACAACTGAGTTATATAGAAACTTGTTATGTCTTATAGCTATTATAAATTGTTTTGTATTGGTAATTATTGAAGAAAGAGAGGAAGGTCCTTTTGGTGAGTAGAATTATTTCAGTTGTGAATTTACTTTCTTATTTTTTCTTTTTTAAAGGGACAAGAGAAAAGACACCCGAGAAAAGATCAAGGAAAAGGAAAGAGTGAAAGAAAAAGATAAAGAAAAGGAAAGGGAAAAGGAGAGAGACAGGGAAAAGGAACGTGAAAAAGAAAAGGAACGGGGTAAAAACAAAGATAAAGACCGGGATAAAGAACGGGAAAAGGACCGGGATAAGGATAAAGACAAGGAAAAGGACAGAGAAAGAGAGCGGGAAAAAGAGCATGAAAAGGAGCGAGACAAAGAGAAGGAAAAGGAACAGGATAAAGAAAAGGAACGAGAAAAGGACAGATCCAAAGAGATAGATGAGAAAAGAAAGAAGGATAAAAAATCCAGAACACCGCCCAGAAGTTACAATGCATCAAGAAGATCTCGAAGTTCCAGCAGGTTTGATATGCTTAAAATTTTTACCAAGGTTTTTACTGATGACAAATGAAAATAAGAATTTTAACTGAGGGGGATAAGATTTTCTTTACAAGTGGAATCAGTACAGTAATATCAAAACATTTTCCTTTTCAGAGTAAGCATTTCTCTAAGAGGGCTTGCCACATGATTGAATCTGTGAGAAGGATGGATGGTATTGGGCAAAATTATTTTGAAAAGTTTTACTTCTCTTTTGTGATCCATTATTTTAACGTGGTGGCAGCACTAGCAGATGGTGCTGCTGCTGATTTTCTTGGAAGGTGGGATGGCAGGGGCAAGTTTTAATTTTTTTAATTGGGGTGACATTGGTTAATAAAATAATATAGGTTTCAAGTGTACAATTTTATAATATAGTAGAGGCCTGGTGCATGAATTTGTGCACCAATGGGGTCCCCCGGCCTGGCCTGTGGGATTGGGCTGAACTGGCTATCCAACATCCCTCAAGGGGTCTTGGATTGTGAGAGGGCGCAGGGCAGGCTGAGGGACCCCACTGGTGCACAGTCAAGGCCGGGAAGAGACGCAGGAGGTTGGTCAGCCGGGGCGGGACCACGGGAGGGCTCCAGGGCGTGTCCGGCCCCTCTCGCTCAGTCCCGATTGGCTGGACCCCAGCAGCAAGCTAAGCTACCGGTTGGAGCGTCTGCCTCTGGTGGTCAATGCATGTCATCGTGACTGGTCGAGCGGTTGACTGTCTGCCCCCTGGTGGTCAGTGCACGTCATAGCGAGCGGTTGAGTGGCCTTAGCAGAACATTAGCATGTTATGCTTTGATTGGTTGAATGGATGATCGGACACTTAGCATTATTAGGCTTTTATTATATAGGATCACCTGGATATTGCATTGTGTGTTCACCACCCAAGTTCAAATCTCATTTCACCACCATATATTTACCACCCTTTACCTTTGTATCACCCAGTCCCCTTTCCCTCTGGTAACCACCATACTGTTGTGTGTCTGAGTTTTTGTTTGTTCATTTTTTGCTTTCAGTTTTATATCCCACATATGAGTGAAATCATAGGTTCTTGACTTTTTCTGTCTGACTTATTTCGCTTATCATGATATTCTCAAGGTCCATCCATGTTGTCGCAAATGGCAGTATTGCATTTTATGGCTGAGTAGTATCCCATTGTATATTTGTACCACATCTTCTTTGTCCAGTCATCTAGCAAAGGACAGTTGGACATCACAGCACACCTATTAGGTTGGGTATTATCAACAAGATAAGTAATAACAAGTGTTAGAGAGGTTGTGAAGAAAAGGAATCCTCATTCGCTGCTGGTGGGAGTGTAAACTGAAAGTTTCTCAAAAAATGGAGCATAGACCCAGTAACTCTTCTGGATTTCTACCACCAAAATGTGAAAACATTTATTCCCAAAGATATATGTACCCCTATGTTCATTGCAGCATTATTCACAGTAGCCAAGATATGGAAACAGTGGAAGGGCCTTTTTAAAATTTAAATATAGAAGAATTGACCTCTTAGACTTTCGTATTTCTTTGGAGTGGTGTGGTTAGTTTTATGTGAAATGATTTCTGAAATTGCAGTGTTAGTGCTTTTTCATCTAAGTTAGTTTTTACTGCACTATTTTGTTGAACGTATGAACGTTTACATTTTTTGTTTTGTCATTTTTAAGATTTTGCTTTTTTCTTAGGACTGTTCCCTTAATCTATTAATAAGTGCTCTGCCACCAGGTGGAGTAGGTTGCCATAGTAACTGCAGCAAAATGAGGACCTTCATTGATTGAAGATTATGTAAACCTACATTTCATTATTCCGGATGATACTGTGGCTATAAATAAATAGAAGTTCTTGTGTTAAGCTATATATTAAAATATATATTTTAAGCAAGTTTTAAAGGTATGTTAAGCATAATTTTTCATAGAAAATAATTTCAGAAACAGGAATGTCTTTTTTTAAAATTCTTTTTAAAAATATTATTTTATTGATTTCAGAGAGGGAAAGGGAAACATCAATGATGAGAGAAGAAGCATCTATCAGCCATCTTTTGCATGCCCCCTATTAGGGACCAAGTACACAACCTCGGCATGTGTGCTGACTGGGAATCAAACGGTGACCTCCTGGTTTTATTCTTTTTTTTATTCCTTTTTTTGGTTTTATTCTTAATGCTAGTCTTTGTTTAGATAATACAAGATAATTCAAGCATTTCAGTGCTTTTAGTATATGACAGATTTTATGTGTCAGCAATTTTTCATGCCTAACCTTATTTAATCTTTAAAAAAGTCTATGTGCCCTAACCAGTTTGGCTTAGTGGATAGAGCGTTGGCCTGCAGACTCAAGGTTCCCAGGTTTGATTCTGGTCAAGGGCATGTACCTTGGTTGCAGGCACATCCCCAGTAGGGAGTGTGCAGGAGGCGGCTGATTGATGTTTCTCTCTCATCAATGTTTCTAACTCTCTATCCCTCTCCCTTTCTGTAAAAAATCAATAAAATATATTTTAAAAAGAAATAAGTCTATGAGAAGACTATTATCATGGTTGTAAAACATAAGGAAACTGAAGGTTAGAGGAAATTTTCCATCTACTTTGTACTTTAGTATCAGAAGTACAGTAGCCCTTTCTCTTTGTAGAAATTAAGTTTACTTGAGAATTCTCTAACTAGTTCTTGGTTACTTGCTTTAAGAAAACTTGATTCAGAAGCATAGAGTTGAAAGCAACACTTTGTTAAAACTAGAGGCCCGGTGTATGAAAATTCATGCATGGGGGCCGTCCCTTAGCCCCGCCAGCCTCCTCTCACACTCCAGGAAGACTCAGGGGCGGGCGGCGACCCGGCGATCAGGGGAAGGCGACGCCCCATCACACCTCTGCTGCTGCCACTGCCGGCAGCGCAAGCCTCGGCCGGCCCTGGTTACCTGAGCCTCGGGTGGCCCTGGGCAGCTGGGGGGCTGAGGGGACTGGGGGACTCCGGAGGCAGGCACACAGAGTGGCTGGGCCTGGCCTTGCCACATACCTGCTGCCCAGCGGGGCTGAGGGAACTGGGCGCTGCCATCTTGTGGCTGTGAGTGCCACCATCTTTGAGGGCGGGCAGTCAATTAGCATATTCCCTCCTTATTGGCTGTGAGTGCTGCCATCTTTGCAATGGCGTGAGAGTCAATTAGCATATTCCCTCTTTATTAGATAGGATGGGCTTAAACTAAGCTGGTAATATTTTAGCACATTGAACCAAAACCTGAAGAATTAATTTAACCTCATTTACTGTGGGTATCGTTGAGATCTGTGACTGCATGTTTATGGCTCAGTGATTTTAATGATTCTGTGTTACATATTCTTTTGTGTTTATGTAATTGTTTAGATACCGCTCTTCACAACACCAAATAATGTTTTTGATGCCATTTAGTTGAATTTGCTTTTTCTGGTGACTGTGAATGAAATGTTTAATTTTTTCTTGGCCCATTTTAAAGTCGCTTGATATTTAAGAAAGTTCAGATATTCACATTCAGTGCTAAATATATTCTTAAATAACCTCTGGGGTCTGGAAAATAAATGCTCAGAATGTTTCATACTTTCAGAGGAGCTTGGTGAAGATATACAATTTCTCACTTTTTAGCATTTTTCTGCTTTTCAGTTGCTCTGATTTGTTTAGTAAATGGGGGAAACATTTCAATTGCTCAGAAAAATAGTCTACTTAATATTTTTATTTCCAATATTCTCCTAATCTACTTTTTAAAATAAAATTTTTATATATAAAAACTTATTTTTTAAACCCTCACCCAAGGATAAGTTGTGTTTTTTTAAAAAATATATTTTATTAATTTTTTACAGAGAAGAAGGGAGAGGGATGGAGAGTTAGAAACATCGATGAGAGAGACAGGGATGGAGAGTTAGAAACATCAATGAGCGAGAAACATCGATCAGTTGCCTCCTGTACACCCCCTACTGGGGATGTGCCTGCAACCAAGGTACATGCCCTTGACCGGAATTGAACCTGGGACCCTTCAGTCCGCAGGCCGATGCTCTATCCACTGAGCCAAACCGGTTAGGGCCAAGGATAAGTTTTTATTGCTTTAAGAGAGGGAAAGAGAAACATCTATTGGTTGCCTCTCCTACAACGCCTCCCCCCCACCCCCTCCCAACCAGGAATTGTACCCACAACCTACATATGTGCCCCCACCAGGAATCAGACCTGCAACCTTTTTGGTGCAGGGATGAAGTTCCAACCAACTGAGCCATCCGGCAGGGGCAATGCTTAAAAACCTTTTAATGTTTAAAAGTTACTGTCAATAAATAGACCAAGAAAGGGAAGGAGAAAATATTTATTGAGTACCTATTATGTGCCAGGCTCTGTGCTTGATACTTTATTGGTATTCTAAATCCTCATCATAACACTGCAAGGCTTGAGTTATTTTCATTTTCCAGTTGTAAAAACAGGTTCAAGTTTAAAGTAACATGACCCCAGTTGTGTGGCTGGTAAGGTGTGGAACTAAAATTTAAATCTAATTCTAACCAACTGCAGTTCTTCCTACTAGAGCTGCCCACTTCTTTCTCAACTAATTGGTATTCTATTCAGCCTTAGCTCTTACCATCAATTGGTAGTTATTAGATATCCACCTGTACATAGTACTTCCTGAACAAAGAGTTACACTGATCAAGGGGTAGCCCATTTTGTGTATACTTAAAGTCTGCAATTCACAGATGTTCTCATGCTCTGGAAAAAGTGCTTTGGGTTCTTGTGCTGAGCTGTTAACCGAATAGCATTGATTTAATGGGATATTGTTACCTAATTTCTTCATCAGTCAGAAGTCTAATTTTGGGGTATCCTGGAAATAAAGTTGGGTAATGGAGGAGAGAGCTTCAGGTAGATTTGGAATTGATTTATGTGTGTTCTCAAAATTCTTAAGCTTCTTTTGGTCTTAATATCTATTATATATACCACATCTAAAATATTATTTAGATTTTTATTTTATAAATGAAAACATAGAATGTTTCTTTAACCTAGAATCAATTTACTGAGGTGGTAAGAACAACTTGAATTATTAGAAATTGATTCTTTCGGCTATATGGCCAATGGCCACTAATTATCAGAACGCCTTGTGAGATAGTTGGATACATTAGTCATTTAATAACTATATCCTCATACCTCATTCTTGAATTATGAACATATTAAAATTTATTGTTTTTAAGTTGACCACCTTACTAATGAATTAGAGTATTCATATTTGCTAATATGTTAAGCAAAATAATTCTAATAACAATAAACACTTAATCTTAGTAATTTTTTTTACTTTGTCATATTTAAATCCATGGTTTTAAGTGTTTTACTTATCTTAAGCAACTCTGCACTCAATTTTAAATGAACAGAACAACAGTAATGAAATGGTAGGAGATGGGAGGGCTAAGCATAAGATGAGTTAATGTAAATACTTTTAGAGATACTCGGAATACTTAGGTCTGGAAAGTTCACATTTTTCAAGCCAACTTATTTTTCATTTCTTGAAAAAGGCATGTTAGTGACCTTATTACAAAATAATCCACCGTGGGGCAGCAAGGAGCTAGATGCATGATAGTGGATCTGATAGACAAAACATGTTTTTAGATGCTAAGGAAGAACATATATAACTTGAGAGAATCTGAAACATCCATTAATATTTTTTTCAACTCAAGAAATTATTGTTTAAATAAACAAGATGAGTTGGAGGTCCTCTACTCTTTCTAAGAGGAAATGTTAGGAGATCTTTTTATTAATCTGTAAGATTTATGGTTCATAATTTGACCTGCACTAAAATTGGGTAATAGAATGTGCTCATAAAGGACATGCGCTTAAATTGGCTTCCAAAGAATACTGGTTACTTGAGAGCATTAAGGACTCTTCTGCTTTTACGTGTTTGAATTGTCATTTCTTTATTTACTAGAGGCCCGGTGCATGAAATTTGTGCAGTGGCGGGGGGGGGGGTCCCCTCAGCCTGGCCTGTGCCCTCTCACAGTCTGGGAGCCCTTAGGGGATGTCCGACTGATGGTTTAGGCCTGCTTCCTTAGCTCTGCCGTGGACATCCTTAGCTCTGCTGTGGAGGCAGGAGAGGCTCCCACCACTGCCGCTGCACTCGCCAGCTGTGTGCCCAGCTTCTGGCTGAGTGGCGCTCCCTCTGTAGGAGTGCACTGACCACCAGGGGGCAGCTTCTGCGTTGAGCATCTGCCCCCCTGGTGGTCAGTGCAATCACAGGGACCCGTCATTTGACGTTCGGTCGATTTGCATATTTGCCTTTTTATTATATAGGATTTTTAAAATCTTTATTGTTGAAAGTATTACATATGTCCCTTTTCCCCCCTATTAGTTGAAAAAAATATTAATGGATGTTTCAGATTCTCCAGCTTGCCCCCCCACTCCAGGCCTTCACCACCCAATCGTCTGTGTCCATGGGTTATGCATATATGCATACCGGTTCTTTGGTTGATTATCTCCCACCCACCCACCTCTCCAGCTTTCTCTCTGAGATTTTGCACTATGTTCCATGCTTCCATGTCTCTGGATCCACTCTGTTCATCAGTTTATTTTGTTAATTAGGTTCCACATATGAGTGAGATCATGTGATACTTGTCTTTCTCTGACTGGCTTATTTCACTTAGCATGATACTAGATGCCTCCATGCTGTTTCAAAGAGTAAGAGATCCTTCTCTTTTCCTGCTGCATAGTATTCCATGGTATAAATGTACCACAGCTTTTTTATCTACTCGTCTACTGATACGAATTGCACTTTATTTAAATTGCTGTTGTAATATATGGCATATCGTTGACTTTCAGGGAAAGGCGAAGGAGGCGGAGCAGGAGTTCTTCTAGATCCCCAAGAACATCAAAAACCATAAAAAGGAAATCTTCGAGGTCTCCATCCCCTAGGAGGTAGGTTGAAAGTATGTGCCCATACTAAGAAGGAAGCAGGAGGGACAGTTTTCTCTTCAGTATATTTTTAAAACTTTATATATATATTTTTTAAATTAAATCTTTATTGTTCAAATTATTACATTTGTTCCTCTTTTTTCCCCCCATAACTCCCCTCCTCCCAGTTCCCACCCCACCCTCCGCCCTCACTCCCCACTCACTGTCCTCATCCATAGGTGCACGATTTTTGTCCAGTCTCTTCCCGCATCTCCCACACCCCTTTCCCCCCCAGGAATAGTCAGTCCATTCCCTTTCTATGTCCCTGATTCTATTATAATCACCAGTTCATTCTGTTCATCAGATGATTTATTCACTTGATTCTTAGATTCACTTGTTGATAGATGCATATTTGTTGTTCATAATTTGTATCTTTACCTTTTTCTTCCTCTTCCTCACAAGGTGAGGATATGTACTTATTTTCATCTTTCTAATAAAAGAGGAAGTACAAAATATACACTGTTGTGCAGTTGCTTTTTTCACTTCACAGCCAGATCTTTCCATATTTGTCAGAGAGTGCTGCTTTACTCTTTTTTACAACTGCATGGACTTCTGTTGTATGATAGTACCTTAGTTTACTTAACCAGCCTGCGGTAGAATGGGCTTTCTTAGTTTTTCTGCTCTAAATTATACAGTACTGTAATGAATCGTTTTGGACTTAATTCATTTTGTAATGTGTACGTATGTAGGAAAACTTTCCAGAAATGGTAATGTTGGGTTAGAGGATTGTGTTTGTAATTTTGAGAGTTTTCCATATTGCTTTTCATACGGATTGGCAATCCCTGTACTTTAACTAGCTGTGCATGAGAGTGCTTGTTTTCCTACAGCTATAACAGGTTATGTAATCAAAGTTGTGGGTTTTTGCCCACCAGATTGATGAGTAATATTACCATTATAGTTATTTTAGTTGTATTTCTCTTAAGAATAAAAGTGATCATCTCTATATTTGAAGGCCATTTCCTGTGAATTGTCTATATATTTTGCCATTTTCCTATGGAGTCTTTTATTTTAATATTTTCAGAAGCTTTTTCTGTATTGGGGAGACTATTCTTTAGTGATTTGATTTCAAGTATCTTTCCTAGTTTAAAAACTTATCCTTCTAAGTTATTGTTTCTAGATTGATCACCTTTATTTATGAGGTAATTTAGAGTATGTAATTTTGCTAATATGTTAAATAGGATAGTTTTTTAGTAATTATTCAGTAACTGTTTTTTTTTTTACTTTGTCATATTCAAATCCCAGCTTTTAAATACAAATTTTTTTTATTTTTATATAACTTAATTTCTCAATTTTTTTCTATTTAATTTCTAGATTTTGTCATAAATTTAGAAAGGTCTTTTCCTATTCTAAGGTTATGATAGAATTCCCCCATTGTTTCTTCTTCTACTTTTATGGTTTTATTTTTACATTTATATCTTTGATCCATTAGGAGTTTATCCAAATGTACCATCCAATTTTATTTTATTTTTCCAAATGCTTCACTGTTGTCCTAATACCATTAAAAACTCAATTTTTCTAATACTAGTTTGATAGATTGCTTTTATTATGTACTAAATTTTTCTATTTGGGTTTATTTCTGGGCCTTCTAGGCCAGCGATTTTTAACTTTTTTCACCTCATGGCACACATAAACTAATTACTAAAATTCTGCGGCACACCAAAAAATACATTTTTTGCTGATGAGACAAAAAATAGTGTAGTTTTGTTTCAGTCTTATAGGAGGACTGTTGTGTTTTGTTGGTTGTCATTTTTTAATTTGACAATCTAAGGGAAAAAAGGTTGGTGCCCCTAACTAAATAGTCTGGTATTGCATGTTTTAAAAATTCCTGCAGCACACTGTTGAAAATCACTGTTCTGTGCTGTTGGATTGGTTTGACTGATGATTTCTGTGTCATGGTTTTAATTATTCAGATTACATAGTATTTCTTAATAGCTGATAAGGTCTGTTCTCCCCCATACTTCCCATGGCTCTTTTTTCTAGCTTTCCTGACCATGCTTGCATGTCTATTTTTCCCTTTGAACATCAGAGTCAGTTGTCTAGGTTATAGAAATAAAACCTATTGATGATTTATATTACAGTTATATTTATTAGAGAAAATTTATAAGTAGCTTTATTAATACATAAGACTTTAATGAAGATGAATCTTTCTATTCAGGAACATAGTATATCTTTCTGCTTATTCAGGCCATCTTTAGTGTTTTTTAAGTGTTTGTTTCATACAGATTTTATGTATTTTCTAAATTCTTATACATATTTTACTTTTATTGCTTTTGTTAATGAGTTCCTTTCTTTTCATTACATTACATTATCTAATTGGAGGTTGGGTTTGTACATAGGAAGGTATTGATTTTTGTTTGTTTTTTCATTCCTTTGTTGGTAAGTCATAGTTTTTATAAAAAGCTTTGCCAGAGTATAAGGAGCATGTTTCCCAGCAGGGTTGTTTTGTTTATTTGCTTGTGGGCTATTGTTTTTAGGTGAGAATAATGAAAGACATAGGATATGATAGAGGTAGCCATATTTTTATTGAAAAAAAAAAGCTTTGTTTATGAAAGCCAAGACTTCTCTCAGTTTTAAATTCAGATTAGACAAAAAGATATATTTACAAAGTGTCACTGTCTTCCCTATTTCTTTAACCTTACTCCCCTCCACCCTCTGTAAGAGATTGTTTATTTTATCCTTCCTTTCTTTTTGCAAAATTGAGCAGATACATATATTTGATTTTCTCTCTTTTTTCACAAAGGACAGTCTATAATATATACGCAGAGAGAGAGAGAGAGAGAGAGAGAGAGAGAGAGAGAGAGAGAGTGTGTGTGTGTGTGTGTGTGTGTATGTGTGTATATGGTCAGTTACTACCCAACCCCACCTTCACCCAAGTTATTTTTTAAAAAATGAGAAATAATTCACTTACAATAAAATTCATCCTTTTATATGTGCAATTAAGTGTTTTTTTAAATATGCTTACAATGTTCTGTAACCATCACTACTACTTAATTCTAGAACATTTTTTGTCATTTTTAAGAAAGCCCATACCCATTAGCAGTTTCTCTCTCTCTCTCTCTCTCTCTCTCTCTCTCTCTCTCTCTCTCTATATATATATATATATATATATATATATATATTTGGTTTCATTTTATCCTAATTATAGTAGCTAGGTAAATTCTCAAATGTTTCAGAACTAATAAATTGACAGTACTAAATTTTGTTTTATGCGAACATCTGGCTGGTGTGATTCAGTTGGTTGGGCATTATCCCATGCGCTGGTCAGGGGCGTGCAGGAGGCAGCCGATCAATGTTTGTACTCTTACATCGATGTTTCTCTCTTCCTTCTTTCTCTCTCTCTAAAAATCAGTAAAAACTATTCTTAAAAAAATAAAAGTTAAATTAAAAGTTAATTGGAGTGTGGGTAGAATAGGTGGCATCATAGGTCTCATTTATGTTACTTGATCAAACTAGATTACTGATATGCTTATTTACTGATATGCTTTAGTGTTAGGTAACATTTTGTCAACAATAGATCAGGTCTTTCATTTCTTAGAAGTTAACTGACATATTAATATTCTTATAGCAGAAATAAGAAAGATAAAAAGAGAGAAAAAGAAAGGGACCATATTAGTGAAAGAAGAGAGAGAGAACGTTCAACCTCTACAAGAAAGAATTCTGATGACAGAGATGGGAAAGAAAAATTGGAGAAGAACAATACTTCACTTAAAGTAAGCAATGGTCATTCAGTGTTTCGACTTTTAATAATTAATAACTGAGATTGTTCTTTATTGCATAGAAGTAGTTTTAGGCTAAAAGGTCCTTGAGGGCAACTGTGTCTTGTATGTTTTTGGTATTCTTTTGTATTTGTTAAATTGACAGTCTTTTTAAAACTAAATTTTTGAAGGGATAGATAAGAGCTAATTAAAAGTTAAACAACCACATTCTCTATTTTAGAGAATCATGGGATGGCATATAGTAAGAAAAATTTTAGACTATTTACGGTACATGTAACAAATGTATTTGATATTTATATTCAGATTTCTACTTGATGCCATTTTCCTCAGTATTTTGTTTCAACAAATTTGACAGATGTTCTGTCATTATTAGTTTTGTAATATATACTGAAATTAGGTTTGTTGAATTAGATAATTAATGGAAAACCAAATTCTAGCAATTAAGGGTTTTGGGATGAATATTTTAAGAATTTATGAATTATGTGTATTGGTATAATTTGTATTTGAACATCATTATGAGTTCTGGAGCTTTTATCATACAGTTTTATTTACTCATACTGATAGAAGTTTGTCACTGTCAATAACATGCATTTCTTGAGCACTTACTATGTGTCAAGCACTATTTCTCATGTTCTCATTTAATCCTCACTTAAGCTGAGGGCAAAACATGGACGTTCTCGAATAGTCTTTGTTAGGAGGAATAGTGACTGGCTTTTCTCCATTCCTTTACTTTTGCTTCCTTGGTTTCCAGATTACAAATCTATCCCGGTGTCTTTGGCAACTATTTTACTCTTTCCACAGATCTGTCACATTGAAGTCAGTGAACAACACTTACTGAACACTTCCTTAAAATTTCTGTTGATCTATTTTTTTCTAATTCAATTTCCATGGGTTGCCATCTTTTATGAGAAGTGCAAAACACACATGGATACATATTTGTTTAATCTATTTATATGAAATGGTAATGGGAGAAAACCCAGTTTTATTAATTCTCAAAAAAATAAAGTTACATATTTTAGCCATAAGCAGATGTAGTAACAGGCAACTCTTGAGAAAAATATTAAATGTATCCCTTAATATTCATTGTAGGAGAAGGAGCACAATAAAGAACCAGAATCAGGTGTGGGCAAAGAAGCAGATGACAAGGATGCACCAAGGACTGAGGAAAACCAAGTACAGCAAAATGGGAATTGTCAGCCAAATGAAGAAAACCTTTCTACCAAAACAGAAGCCGTGTTAGACTGACAAGTGCACCTCTAAATGCACGCTGGAATAAAATCCAAAGCTTTTAATTACTCTTAACAAGATGTTAAATAATGAAGAATCCATTTGAGCATAAAGAGATAAGCTAACAGCTTTTCTAGTTGTTAGGTGGCTTTGTGGCCATCTTGTTAGTGAGTAAGAAAAGAAAGCATGGACATCATGAAGATAACTGATGTTACCCAAACTCATCTTCTAAAATCTGTGTATTTCCATGGTGGCTGGCACACTTGTCCTGTGGTTTGTTAGTGTTTGCCAAGAACCATTACAAATAAATGGGACATCAAAGATCCAAATTTGTATTCTCCTCAAAGACTGGAGATAAACATTGAAGGCTCTTTTAAAAAGTGTTAGTTACTGAATTTTGTATTGTTTTACTTTTTTTTAAATTTCAACATATACAGATTGATGATGTGCTTGAAATCGGTGCAAATATATACCCACCCTTGTAAGTGCAGAATATGTAAGAAGTTTTAACACTTAACTCCACAGGATTTATAGTGATTGTGTTAAATTCTCACTATTGTGTTTCTTTTTCTCACTGTTTAGGACAAGTTTTTCTTTACAATACTTTTACAGATTCAAATTCCTTAATTAAGTGGATTAAAAAAAACAACTGACAATGCATGCTACTACTGTTCTCTTTCAAAAGGAAGAACAACTGTGTTGAATACTAATAATGTATTAGTATTCAGTGTTTAGAATCATTGGGTTTCCCCACAAAGTAAGCACTTCTTTTTTAACTTTCTTGACATTTCCAAGCTTATTATGAATAATATTGTAGTGTGTATTGTCAGCAGTAGATGGCAAAGGTATCATTATAAAAAGAAAACTTGGGTTTTTCAAAGCGGGCTATGGGAGCACAAGCTGAAGCTTTAGTGCCTTCTACAATGTGGTATACTGTTTTCTAGAATTTTATATGTACTAGTCATTCTCAGCTCATACTCAATTTAGATGGATATTCCATTCACTCCCATAGAGAAGTGTGCAAGTGATATGTCAAAAGAGCCTCTTACTTAGTTCACCTAATATGAGAGGGAAGTCCTGTTTTCAAGAATGACTTTAGAGCTTAAAACAACAGTGCAGTTTTGGGACCATCAGTTTTATACTGTGATCATTGAAAATGAAGCATGTTCTTAATTTACTTAAAGCAAATCCTTTAGTTGTCTATATGGGATGGCCTTAATTATTACCTCTCAATCATCTTCTCATAAATGATATGCAGAAATTGAACTTAAAGGAGAATACATGAGGTTGTTTTATTTCTAAGGATTTGTTTACTTGATTTAAAATATAGGTCATCCATCATTCTTAGGTTCACTTTTTGTAGAAAGTATGCAAGCAGTAAAATGACAACATTGCTAATATTTCCCCACCACCCTAAACCATAACTCATAGTTTCAGAACTCATTTCATTATTGTTATATTTCCAAAAAAGATATACCTTTTAATTAGCATATTATTAAAAAATCAAGTATAATTATTTTAATACAATATAATACAATCAGATTACTCAGTTGCCTTACCTCATAGGAAGAGTTACTTATAGAGTTCAAAGCTGGGTAGCACATCAGTTATTTGGTTTCAACTTGAGTTTTCTTTTAAGGTTAATACTATTGAAACTTAAGTTTTGGGTGGGGAATGGAAAGAATTGCCCTTATTGCAAATAATGAAGCCTGGTTTGATTATGAAGCTGCTTAATTCCACCTCATGTGTCCAGAATTACTGTGGTATTTTTTCCCTTTTTGTCACTGTGTACATTAAATTTTTTGAAAATGCTTTACTATGTAAAGTATAGATGGTCATTTTAATCCTTCAACCACATACGGTTGGCTGGTAAACAGCTTATTCTGATACAAGAATGCTTGTATGGTGACTATGGAAAGATCGTGAAGGAGTATGTATGTCTTGCATCAACAGCTGTCTTATTTATGATATGTAAGTAGAATAGAGCAAATGTTTGACTCTGTTATTTTTAGTACCATTTCTTAATAAAGCTAAGTATTTTAGAGGAAAGTATTTGTTATGCATTTCAAAACAGCATCTTAGTTTTATTTTGTTATTTTTTTAGTTTCCATAGAAGTTGTTTTGACATGGAGCGTGCATGTTTGGTGTGGTGTCTATAAAACAATCATTTAAAGTTTGAGTGTTTTCTTATGTTCTGGGCTCTATTAAATGTTTGTTATGTTATAATTAGCATATTTAATTTGGGTCTTGCTACTAATTATTTTTCTTGCCTATATTTATTTAGCTTTAAAATAATGAAAGACTGATTTGTAAAAGTTAGGCATAAGTAGGAATACAAGAGATCTGGAGAAAGTGAAATAATTTTCTTAAATTAGAGCTTATGTAAGGAAAGCTGTCTAGGTCTATAGATAATTGGTGTGTGTGTGTGTGTGTGTGTGTGTGTGTGTGTGTGAGTGAGAGAGAGAGAGAGAGAGAGAGAGAGAGAAAGAGAGAGAAAGAGAAAGGGGGGGGGTTCTCCTTGTTCACGTATGAGAGCTGAAATGTTTCCATTTGTTTATTATTTTTTCAAGGAATTTGTTTTTTTTCTTTAAGATTATTCTTGTTCATCCCAGGTAGATATTGTCAGAAAAACTTGAGGTAAGGCCAAGATGATAGTCATTTTATACTTGAAAGCTCCTGTAAATATCTTTTTTTGTTTGATCATATGGAGAGTACATACACTCTGTTCCTTAAATTGTAATTGCTCTTCATCATTCTGGACAAATTCTGTTGGTCCTCTTGTTCTTTCTGTCCAGCACTGCACACTGAAAAGGTAATAATATAAGATGGCTCTTCATAAGATAGCCAGTTTCATGTGAGAAAACAAGTATAAATCTTCACTTCTGTAACCATCTCCTTAGTTATTTTCCATCTAATCTAACTTATAATTGCAAACACTAGTCAGCTTGTGATTTTCTGTTTAGAATTACTTTTTCAAGAGGTAAAATGCATGTTATGTTGATCTTCAGAAGTGTCAGAGGCTTAAATTTTGGCATACTCAAAAATAACACATTTAGAATTAATATTTTGTCAAAATATCTTATGATATTAGTCATTTTCATGACCCCATTTATTCCTATATATGTCGCTATTTTTATTTAAAACTTAAAAAAAACAAAAATGACCCAAATTTTTCAACTGAAGATAATGTTCAAATTTAAGGGATATATATATGTATATGTATATATATAGTACATATATAGTAATATATATGTATTTAGTACATATATATAGTAATAGGCTTTTAAAAGTTTAAAAATTTATTAGAGATGGTTTGATTTAAATCTTTAGTAGTTGGAATAGCAGTTAGAATGAATCCTTTTGGAGGGATGCATTGAAAAAATTAACATTTCAATTAGTCATTTTTTATATTTTCACAAAATAGTATCTGAATTTAACTTGGCCATGAAATAGAGTCATTTCAACAAAGTAATTATGTTTCCTACATGTTTAATTTCTTTTAAATCTTTGCTACTTAATATACTTAGTACTTTCTTATGTTTATTTGCTAATGTAATATTCATTTAAATTGAATTGTTTATTTTCAGATTTCAAAAGTTAGTGCCCCTAAAAGGGCTAAATTGTACTTCTGGAAGCAAGAGTCCAGTATAAATGTAATAAATTAATACTTTAAAATATAATGGACTTCCCTACTTAATTTTGGATTTGTGGGTTCATTTGTTTCTCTTAGTACATTTTTATTGATGATTCTGCTTAAAGACTGATACATTATTTTAAAAATAAAAGCTAAAGCTATTAATGACTTTTGGTCCATATTCTGTTAAGTTGGATTTAATAAAGAATAGGTTTGTTTTTTTTTCATTTCACTTTTGGGTAATTTTATGGTTTCTGGCAATTAATTTATAATTATTAGTTTATATCTAATACAATATTCCTTAATATATTATTTTTAAAAGCAGATTTGTAGCCTGTTGCCTGATTGTTAAATTTACTTGTATCTAGCTAACATTTTAACTTTGAAAATTGCCACCTTTTGGGAAGCTTCACATATTTTACAGTAAATATTTTCCCAGGACTGGAATGAATAGTTCCCTTCATTCTTGATTATAATTTATTTGCTAGATAGATATTTTCTTAACTACAGGGTATCCCCCAAAAATGTATACACAGCTTAAGCTGATAGCTCAATTAATGTTTCTTTTCAGATTTAACCCATTGGAATTAATAATTATTCAAAGTGTGTACACATTTGGGAGGTGGGACACCCTGTATATTAAGTTCAAATTCATGAAAATCACACTGAAAGAATTACAGTTGAGATTTAGTTCTACCAACTTAAGGTTACGGGTAGGCAGAAAAATGTTGGGGAACAATCTACAGAATTCCCTGATTTCCACAGGAGATTCACATTTTGGAATACTGTGTAATTGTATAGATAGTTCAGCTTAATGGTTAAATAGTACTCTCCTTAATCTTAATTAGGTTAATACATAGTGTTCTTTACATAATGCTATGAATTATCAAGGGAAGAGTTTAAAATGTAAGCAGGAAGATGCTGCATAGGTGGTGTGTGTTTATGTGAGTAGAACTACTAAATGGTACTAGAAAAGATTTATCAAATGATGCTGCTATTGTGTTACTATATTTTTAATAAAATGGAAATCTTAAAACCTTTCCAGTCTTGAGTAGTAATTTCACTTATTTCTGAGACATTTATTTGTATATTTACATCTTAAACTTTACTGTCTTTATAGTAAATCCATTTTGGATCTTAAGAAAAGAGGAAGGACAAGATTTGGCAGGATTCTAGAGACTTCAGTCTGATCAGACTCCAAGTGCCAGGAACAACCAACAATAGAGGTAGTGTTTACAAGGACTGATTTCTTGCCAGATCATAAGAATTCATTTTCTTAGAGATTCAGGGAATTCACTCAGCCAGTAGCTTGGACCCAGTGGGTCTGGTCTGCTTATGGCCTGGAGTCCAGGTGGCTCAGGAGCAGATTGAGGTGGGGACCATCCACCCTAGAAGTTGCCCACCTGCACGGGAGCTGGATCTTGCCTGCCTTTTATCTTTGTTGTTCTAACTTCAAGCTCCTACTAATTGCATAGTGTGGGAGCAAGCACATTTCAGAAACCTGAGCTGAGGTTGAACTGATATGCACCCTAATCAGAATGATATGATTATAGAACAAATTACAACCATTTAAGCCAAATAATTTAAACTTCAACTAGCAACTTAGACTGTTGTCATGTTTGGAGTATGGTGATAAAAGACCAAGTAGAATTTTGAAATCATATAGCCAGTGTGTTTGGTCTGAGAGCTCCCTAGATTCTTGTGCATGAAGGCTCTTCACTCATTTTTAAGAACAGTGATAATAAACTAATAAAGTGATAGCAATAATGCAGAATATATTCTTTAACTGCTTTCTCTGAACCTCTGGCAACCTCCCAAAGGAACTATTAAATCCAGTAAGTAGGAACAGGGCTGTCACAAGCCTCTGGTGCCTTTGTGTGAGTTAGGAAAAGGTGCTGCCTCTGGGTGGTGCAACCTCATGGGTGTGCAGCTTGACAAAAGGAGCTCACTTTGGAGTTCAGGCTTCCTTGTCTCCTGGTCTGGGCATCTTTGTGCAAAGAACAGTCTTTGCCAGCTGTCTGTGGGCACCAATGGCAGGAAGCTGCTTCAACAAGCCGCCTTCCTCCAGCCCCAAACTGCCTGGCCTGTTTGGCAGGTAGAGGGACTGAGCGATCAGTGAGACATTTATTAGCTTAAAAAAGGATGAAAGCCCAACTCTGAAATTCTGTGCCAATAAAAATATGATGCAAAGGAGTAAGAATAAAATGTACACAGACAACGGTAGTTTAGAGTTTGAAAGGATTTTGGAAATGAACTAGTTTTTCCCTTCCTGCTCTTTAACAGACTTGGAACCCCAAAGCTCAAAGAGGAAGCAAGTAGTAGCCCCATGTCTCACCACGTGTAAGTAGCAGGGTCTGTTCAGGGCCTGAATGCTGTGGTGCTGGGATGTGTTCTTCCCATGCACGACCCAGGACTTGGCTATCAGCAATTTCCTTAGAATATTTGACTGCTATTTTTATAAATTAAAATTTGGATGGATTTTTTTTCTGCTAAATGCCACTTATATTATAATCCATCTCAAAAATACAGATAAAAAGGTAATTTCTCTGATTCAATTATTACAGGACTTCCAAGCATCATTATTTATAGTATTAGGAAAAATATAATTTTAATGTCCATGGAATTGTGGCTCTGGCAGTAATAATTTTATTACACTTGATGAGCTAACCGAGATATCTGGGTTAATGCAATTTGTATTTAAAGATGTCCTAAAAGGCTAACGTAACTTCATTATCAGTACGTGACTTTTAAAAGTGTAATAGTTACTAAACAGTAAGACATCTAACCACTCTAATACGATTTTCTGTTTTTTCAGGTCAGGTGGCAAAAGTTTAATGAGCAATTAATTATTTGATGAATCAAATATGTCTTATTTTTTGCTCCAAGGGTTTGGCTAGCATTGATGAAATACTAGTTTTTCTTAAGAGTATTTTACCTTTAAGGAATAAAACCTGCCTTAGGAATTATCTCCAGGTTCTCCAAATCCTATATTATACCTAACTTCACTCCTGCTAATTACTATTCATAAAATCCACAAATCTTAGAGCTAAATTTTATTTTAGAAATCATTTAGTACCTCATTTTATTCAAGTGTCAGACAACAGGGTTGCCATAACAAAGTAAGCTAAACTGGGTGCTTAACCAACAGAAATTCATTCTCAAGGACATCAGTCTTTGGATTAAGGGCTCTTAGTCCAGCATGACCTCATCTTTATTTTTTTATTTTTTATAATCAGGTCTTTATTTAATGATCCGATCTGCCAACTTAATCTTTTCCATCAACACAGGGAGCAGAAACCTTTACAAGCTTCATAGGCTTTTGGTTAGGTGCTGCCTTTGTGGGAGCCTTAGCAGCAACCATTGCTGTCTTTTTAGACACTTGCTTAGTCTTTTTTGCTTCCTTGGCAGCCCTGATAGCTTGTTCTTGTTGAGCCTTCCTAACTTCAAATTTCTGATTCCTCTTGGCCATTATATCAACAAGAGATGACCCTCTGGAATTCGACCACATGGCAGGGTCTTTTCTTTTGAATTTCTTCCAACTGTCCCTTTTTGTTTTCTTCTGTAGAGGAAAGTCCAGTTTTATCTGCAAAGACTCCTCTTGGAAAGGAATGCCCACTTGCATTTTGCGTTAAGAAATTGGTCCAGGTCAGCATGGCTCAGTGGTTGACCATTGACCTATGAAGCAGGATATCACTGTTTAATTCCTGGTCAGGGCACATGCTGGGGTTGGGAGATTGATCCTTGGTGAGGGGGCATGCAGGGGACGGCCAATCGGTGATTCTCTCATCATTGATGTTTCTCTCCCTTCCTCTCTGAAATCAATAAATATATATTAAAGAAAAAAAGAAATCGGAAAACCTTCCCATCAGTCCTGGTGCACGCAGTACCTCCTGTGTAGCTTCACCATCATGGCTGCGGCTGCCAGCGAGGAAGAAAGATGGTGAAGAGAACCAGCATGACCTCCCCTTAACTAATGCTACCTGCAAATGCTGTTTCTAAATAAGGTTACATGCATAGGCACCAGGGTTTAGAACTTGAACATGTCTTTTTGGGGGACACAAGTCTACCTTCTACAGTGTGCAACCCTACTACGATGAATATGACACTCCTGCAGTTGTTAGGCACCTGCCTTCCTAGGGGCTCTGGGAGTGAGGTGGAAGTGGCATACAGGGAATCAGCACTTACACAAGCCATTTAAAAAAAAATATTTTATTGATTTTTTACAGAGAGGAAGGGAGATGGATAGAGAATTAGAAACATCACTGAGAGAGAAACACCGATCAGCTGCCTCCTGCACATCCCTCACTGGAGATGTGCCCGCAACCAAGGTACATGCCCTTAACCGGAATCGAACCTGGGACCCTTGAGTCCGCAGGCAGACGCTCTATCCACTGAGCCAAACCGGTTAGGGCCACAAACCATTCTTTTTAAAAAAAATACATTTTCATTGATTTCAGAGAGGAAGGGAGAGGGGGAGAGAGAGAAACATCCGTGATGAGAGAATCATTGGTCAGCTGCCTCCTGCACACCCCCCAATGGGGAGCCCACAACCCAGGCATGTGCCCTTGACCAGAATCGAAACCGGGACCCTTCAGTCCACAGGCTGACACTCTATTCACTGAGCCTAACCAGCCAGGGCCACAAACCATTCTTGTCCTTGCAAAGCTTATCGTCTCATGAAAAAACATAAGTCAACCAATAGGTGTTCGTTAGGAAAAATGAATATGTGTAGGACATGGTTTATGTAGTGTGGTTAGAGGAGGCCTCGGAGGATATGACATTTAATCTGGGTCTTACAGGATGACAATGAGCCAGATATGGACAGATAAGGAGAAGAATCTTCCAGGTGGAGGCCACAGCAGAAGCAAAGCCTCCAAGGTGGGAAAGAGCTCAACACTTTGTTGGGACTGAAGGAACAATGAGGGGAGACAGTAGAAGATGAGAACAAAGATGTAGGCAGGAGCCATACCTGATGGGCAGTGAGTGGCTGCCAAACATTTTTACAGCAATCCTGCAGCTAAGAAACAGGTACCTATGTGCACAGATATGCAACTGGATGGTAAAGAGTAGATAGAAGTCAGATTTTCAGTCTTATTTTGGAGGAAGCACCGCCAGTGTGTGGGAGGGTGAAAGAATTCAGGATGATGCTCAGCATTTGTGAACAGTTGGGTCAAGGGCAGTGAAATGGTGAAGCCTGGGGGAAGAAAGATTTTGTTGGAAGCGGGGGGGTGGCTGTAAACAGTTCAGTGTTTGACATGTTCCATTTTAGACAAGTGGATATACCACCTAGTGAATATGTTTCTGAAGCTCAGAGACAAGGTCTGTCTGATGATATAAATTTAGGGATTGGTGACTGTATAAATATAGGGTGTCCCCCAAAAATGTGTACGCCCACTTTGAATAATTATAAAGGCAGCGTTTATTATAATACATTTCATTTTAAAAAATATTTGTATTGATTTCAGAGAGGAAGGGAGGAGGGGGAGAGGGATAGAAACATCAGTGATGAGAGAGAATCATTGGTCAGCTGCCTCCTGCACACCCCCCACTGGGTATTGAGCCTGCAACCTGGGCATGTCCCCTGACCGAGAATTGAACTGTGATCTCCTGGTTCATAGGTCGACACTCAGCCACTGAGCCATGCCGGCTGGGCAAAATACATTTTATTTTCAAAATTGAGCTCTCAGCTGTTAAAATGTGAACATATTTTTTTGGGGACAGCCTGTAGATAGATTTAAAGCCATGGAAACGGGTGAGGTTTGAAGAAAGGGAGTAGAGAGAAGAAAAGGGGGTAAGCCTCAAGAAACTGAAAACAAACCCCTAAGCACATTAGTTACCAGTATTGTGTGCATAGCATAGTGCAGAGCACGGTGTGGTTAGTGAAGACTTGGAACCCCAGAGCCCAGCGTGTGAATTCTAGCCCTGATGTGTCCTAGCCCTGGACTACAGCAAGTTATTTAACCTCTTTGAGCTTCTGTTCCTACATCTGTAAAATGGGAACAAGACACCCTGCTTCCCAGGGCCTTAGTAAGTGTTTCCT